TTGTCTTCCAGATCGCTCGATGGGTTTACCGGCGCGAACAAAGGCGAGATGGCATCCTTAAATGGATTTGAAACGTCTACGTTGCTCAACGTTTCAGATATGGTATTGCTCGTTGGCTTGTGCAAGAGGTCGTCGAAATTATTTTGAAAGGGTGTCTCCTCTGACATCCTGGAATTCCAATATGAAGTTTTCTCCACCTTCAACTCTTGGCGCCTCTTTAAACCAACCCGATTTAGGACCCGGAGCGTATGTCGAACAATGCCCAGTATTTATTCCGAAATAGTACGTGCATGTAGAAAAATAGTAACCTTTGCCCAAATTAAGTGATTCAAATGAATTTAATGTACTTGGTTATTAACGATGTACACTTATCATTATTATTATGGTTCTATTGCGAAGCCAATAAGAATCACATTATGTAAGTTATTTATAGATGTCACGTTATTATACAGTATTTCTCCTATTCATGAGACACAAGGCACCAAACTTATTCAAGAACACACAATTTCTCAATATTCCGTTATCTTTCTTTCACAAACCTATTCTCCTCAATAAAATTATTGTTACGACGCTATTCCCGTTGAAAAAGGTGAAAAAAGGTAAGAACTCCTTTTGCTCGGGCAAGGTTCGGTCCGAGACCCCAGCCAACTGAATCTTTTTCTTTTTTACACTTGGTTTCAACTTTACTTATCTCTCTCCTGTCATTTCTTTTTGCCATTGGAATACGCAGCAATCTTGCCTGATATCTCTGGGATACATCATACCTCAAGAGAAGTATTGCCATATTTACACAAGTTTCTGTTGCGAATATGGTAACTTCAGTTGTAAGCGAAGGTATGTATATTTGAACCCGACTCCTTGAGATAATTGATTTCACCATTAATATTTGTCTTTATCACGAATGTCGTGAGTAGCTGTCGACATCATCGTGGAAAAAAAAACAACACGACCCGCGCCCCCAACTAATGTCGTTGAGCCATTAGTTGCAACGACTCATACGGAAATAATACAAACAGGCACGTCGTTTAACATATTAGAATTATTTATTCATCTCCCCAAAATTGTCTATGTTGAAAATGCGCAAATTGAAGACATATAATTCTTGCAAAAGTCCTAAAAATAAGTCAACTCGATCCTTCTTTTATAATAGAAAAGCAACCTCCATCGAATCCCGAAGAAAAGAAGTCTGTCAGCTTTATCCCTGGTACAACGAAACCAATTAACACAGGTGCAGGAAGCGTTGACGGTGTACGGCAATCATCAGAAAACGTCAGAGAGTCACAAAATGATAATTCTGAACAAGATTCCAAAGGATCACACGGTGCACCTACGCCTCA